CAAACTGTTGGGAAAAGACCATATTTCCCAAGAACTACACTAGAATCAGTCAAAACCATACAATTATTGTTAGCCACCATATTTGGTTTTTGAACGGTGCGCGCCAGCTGTTCCTGCTGCAAACGAGCACTGTGATTGGCTGATTTGGTAAGGCTGTTGAATGATCTAAACCAATCATGAGTTTCCAATACTTTCTGGTCTTCTGTGTTGGCGTGTGAATAGATCTCGTGTCTGAGGTCTTGCTTTTTTTCTTCCGGGGTTGGTGCTATAGACTGGTGTCAGATTTGTGTTGCATTTGTGATTCCGTACCGTGATTTCGTTGTGTATCTAGTTTCCATGCGTGTTCGTTCCGGATTGCCTTAGTGATCACAGGATTGCAACAACTTGGCGACGGACCCTGCTTTATTAATGACCATCGACAGTGGTGATATCAAGCTGATCCTGCAGCAGCGGAGGAGGCTGATGCAAATGATTACTGAACGCTTCTCGGCGTCCTCGCTAGGACAGCCTAGCCAATCCTACACCACTGAGTTTAGTGAACAAGCTGCAAACAATAGCACCGAGTTTCTGTTTGATTCTGCGGACAACTCAACATTTGATTCCTGGTTCAAACGATATGAAAACTTATTCCGCGTTGAGCTTGTCCACTGGGACGAGGCACGGAAAATTCGCTTTCTGCTCCGAAAATTCGTTTCCGCTGAACACGAAAAATACTCCAATACCATCCCACCACAGAATCCATGCGATCAGTCATTCGATGAAACGGTGCAGAGACTTACACAAATATTCGGTGAGCAAGCATCATATTTCAGTATTCCTTACCAGTGACGCACGTGAGTTCGTCACTAATGCCGATGTAGTTAATCGGGAATGCGAACCCTTCAAACCACGCTCTCTCACAGATGACTAGTTTAAGTGCCTCGTGTTCATGTGCGGACTTCAATCGCCAAAGAATGCCGATTTACGTAAGCGACTTTTGAGCAAAGTTGAGCAGGATCCCCAGATGACGTTACAAACTGTCACTACTGAATACCAGCGCTTCATCAATCTGAACACGATACGACGACGATCCAGAATCTTGACCGCCCTCTCAGTTCCATTCACTCTGTGGAGGCTTCCAAACGTCCTGTCAGCACCAGCCATCCACCCTATTCCGCCATTAAGATACTACTGTCTCCGTGTTGGCACTGCGGTGAATGGCACTTCGTTCGTTTTTGACCGTTCAGACGTCACCGATTTCAGCGGTGTGGCCACAAAGACGGATATTGTCAGACCCGGACCAGTTTCAGAAGGCTCGTGAAACCGAGGCAGCGATCAAGACGTCCTACTCAAGCCGATCATTCCCGTAGCCTTCTAGCTACATTCAAATTAGATGTCGCATCTCGCCGAAAACTTGTTTCTATGAAGATCAACGACCATGCTGTCAACTTTCAACCAGACACTGCATCCGACATCACGGTAATTTCCAACAAGTTGCGTAGTTCCATAGGTAGTTCACCTATTCAAGCTACCTCTCAGGAAGCAATCAGTGCCTGTGGGGGTTCGGTTCGCCTTACCGGTCAGCTATATTGCGCTGTCACATATGTTGACACTACAATCAATGATGTTTGTTATATCTCAGACTCCGATCTCAATCACCTTGGTTTGGATCGGATCGGCGAGCTAGGTCGTGCAGCAAACTTCAAGCCCTATCGACAAAGTTTATTGTCCGTGATTTCCCCACGGTCTTTCGCGAGGGTCTTGGCTGTTGCACACAGACTCAAACAACTCTCCGGTTAAAGCTTGGTTGTGTTTTGACGTCTCGACCAAAGCGACCAGTACCCTATGCGACGCTCCGGTTGGCAGATCAAGAACCACGCCGACTCGAAGAACTGGGCGTCCTTTCCCCGGTGTCTTATTCACCATGGTTAGCGCCAATTGTGGTTGTCAAAAAGGCAAGTGGTTCAGTTCGCATATGTGTTGACTTTTCCACCGGATTAAATGTTTCTGTGAAAGAGCATTGTCATCCATTACCGATTCGTGAGGATATCTTCACCATGCTCAATGAAAAAACTTATTTCGCCAAACTGGATTAAGCTGATACATATCTGCAAGTCGAAGTATCCTCTGAGTCTCGAGAGCTGTTAATCATAAACAAGCATCGCGGTTTGTTTCAGTACAACCGTCTACCTTTCGGTGTCAAGTCAGCTCTTGTTATTTTGCCAGACACTGAATTCCATGATCTCTAGTGTAACCAGCGCTACAGCGTATCTGGGTGATTTCATTATAATGGGTCGCACCATTGACGAGTTGTACAGAAGGTAATCTGAGGTTTTACGTCGAGTTGAGAAATACGTGTTCAGGCGGCAACCGAATACATGCCAATTTTTCCTCTCAGAAATCAAATACCTTGGTTACATCATCGACAAAAATGACCGCCGTCCTGACCCTGAAAATATGCGTGTAATCAGGGAAAATCCAGCTCCAAAAGATGTGACATCCCTGTGGTCGTTCCTCGGGCTAGTGACTCACTAAGGCACGTACTTACCAGCTCTCCACAATGCTAGAGTACCACTGAATAAACTGCTTAAAAGAATAGCGCTTGGTCGTGGTCACCAGAATGTGAAGGCGCATGCAACTACCTAAAAGCAATGTTAGGTTCCGACCTTCTAACACATTTTGATCCCAAGCTATCGATCGCAGTCGCTGCAGACATCTCCAACCGGTGCCGTCATCACTCGTGCGTTTCCAGATGGATCGAAGAAGACGATCGTGCATGCTTCTCGAACCCTTATGCCAGACGAGAAGTATACTCAAATCGAAAAGGTTTTGGCACTAAGATTTGCTGTGATGAAGTTCCAAAAGATGGTCTATGGTCACTACAGCTTGCTGACCGACCATATTTTCGGGTCTAAGAAGGGTAACCCGATATATATTCCGCCAACAGATTGTAGCGTTCGGCAAACTTTCTACTGAACTATGACTTCTACATCTGTTGTCGGCAAACGCGAGATTTCGGTCAGGCAGAAGCCTTGTTTCGGTTAATCAGTCCAAATCGACAACAGCAGGAAGATACCATTATCGCAGCAGTCTCCATGGAATCGGGTATTCCTTAGCACCTGACTGACGCTGTTCGTGCGATTCCGATCACTCTCCGTGGAATCAAAAATGAAACGAGCATCGAACTTGTCCTCCAGGAAGCAATTATTTGTGTCCGTAACCGATGGTCCACGAGAGCAGCAACTGGTGACCTACGACAGCTTTATCTCGGTCGAGTAAGATTGTCCATAGTTGATTCCTGTTTAACGTTCACAGATCACATTCGCAACCCCTCTTCGCTTCGACCGATCATCGTACGTCAATTTCAGCAGAACCATCCTGGTGCAGGATGAATGAAAGCCATCGTCCGAAGCTATGTCTAGCGGCCGGATATAGACTAGAAAGTAGACGTTGGTTCAACAGTGTCCCGCTGCCAACAGGCCACCAGGAACCCTCCGCATGTCATCCCACAACCATGTACTCAATCTGATAAGCCATGGTCACGCCTAAAGGTCGATTTTGCTGACCTAATCAACGGCATTATGTGTCTCATCGTAATCGACGCAACGTCCAAGTGACCCGAAATAATTCCTCAGTCACATGCGATAACATCGTCCAGCATTCTGACCTTCGCAGAATTTTCAGTCAGTATGGGTTTCCAGATACCTTGGTTTCAAATAGCGCAACCCAATTTACATCGGCAGTTTTCCAGGAGGGTTAGTAACTAAGTTCGCATCCCACCAAACCAGCCGCAATCAAACAGTCAGGTCGAACGGTTTGTGGACACTTTTAAACGGTCGCTCTTGAAAGCGCAAGAGGGAACTACTGAGGAAAGCATTCAGGATTTCCTCGTGCTTTACAGAAACACTTCAAATCCAGCAAGATTAAATGGATCCTCCCCTGCTGAATGTCTTATGAGCAGAGAACCACGCACCACCTTCGACGCAATTTTGCCGTCGGGGAAATCGTCACCAGTCCCAGTGCACCCATCGGGGAAAACATTCGCAATTGGTGGTTTGGTCTACGCTCATGACTACAGGCATGGTTATTCAGCATGGGTCCCAGCAGTGGTAGCTAGTCACCGTGGTGTATGAAGTGACGGTTGGATCGCACAAGTGGATACGACACAAAAATCAAATTCGCCATGACGACGTCACGGCCACTGAGGAAAAATTGTTGCTAAAAAGACTGCTAGGCACGTTCGGACTCATCCATAACCAATTGACAGGCACCAAATGCACCGCCCGAACGGGTCTCCTTGCAACCCAGAAGATGGACCGACCGGAAGTGCCGTCCAACAAGATCCTTGCAACTGGATCCTCGACGTCCTAGATACGAGTTTTCCCGAGAGAGGAGGTGCTGGGAAAAGACCATATTCCCAAGAACTACACTAGAAGCAGCCAAAACCATAAACTTATTGTTGGCCACCATTTTTGAATTTTGAACGGTGCGTGCTATCTGTTTCCGCTTGAAACGAGCAGTGTGATTGGCTAATTTGGCAATGCCGTTGAATAATCTGAATCAAACATGAATTTCTTGTACTTTCTGGTTTTCTATGTTAGCGTGCATGTTTGAGGTCTTGTCTTCTTTCTTTCCGGGGTGGGAACTATAGATAGGTGCCGGATTTGTGTTGCATTTGTGATTCTGTGTCGTGATTTCGTTGTGCAGCCAGTTTCTGTGCGTGTTCGTTCCGAAATGGGTTAGTGGTCATAGGATCGCAAGACAGCCACACTAGTCACATGCACCACATGCCCGCCAACCGCCTAACCCAGTGTATAATTTTTGCTGATGCTATGTTTCATTACGTGAATCCGCGAGGGCAATGGCCAGTCATAAGCGAGAACACAGTATGGTTGGCACATGCGGTTCTCTTGAGTGGAGAAATATGAGTCATCACCAAGCGCGAAACGTGTCGTGAAGTGCAACGCTGTGAGTAGGTAACACGCAACATTAATCAGTTGGCTATATAAGGGAGAACTCACTACAGTAATGGCATATCCAGCGAGTTTTCTGAGAATCCTGATCGCTCCCGGGAAGGGGCCACCAAATAGGACTAAAAAATAACAAAAACCAAATAAAAACAGCAAATCCTACTGAGCGTATTTGCATCGTTTGCCCAACAAACACAACCCATTGATGTAATTCTTGCAAGCCACTCGTCTTACGTGGCGGTTTCGACACATGGGACCTGGCGGGGAATTAAAAACACAAAGCTCAATACAGTACCATTTCGGCAGAATCCGCGATCGTACCAAGGGCAATCTTGCACTTTTGTGGCAGGGTCGATATGCAGAAATGGACACTCCTTGTTCATACACTCGCCTGAAGTCGTTGGAGTGTGATGAGAAACAAACCGAATTTAGAGAAAAAGTAGCATTCAGGCATTTTCGACATGTCGTACTCGTGTAAGAATTCGCAATCGTCGCCTTTTTTGCACAATCCCCGCAGCCAATGCTTGCAAACAACTGTTCGGTCAGCCTTTATATGTCGCAATGGGCATAGATTGTTCAGGGTACACTGGTTTATGATGAAGTATTTGCAAACACCGGCACCAGACTCTTGACGAAATGAACATGATTGGGGCAAAACATACTGTTCATATTGGAAAATGGAAGGCATCCAAGGCCTATTTGCTTCTCTAACTGGGTTTCAATCACGAAATCGATTTCCGATACATCAGCTATCAAATTGTCCATGTTCTGCTCTGTTGAACGTCTACGAAGAATGCTTCGCACAAACTGTCTTTATTGTTACAAGCTGAGAAAAGGTAAAACAAAGCAGACGTAAATGAGCATATCTAAGTACGCGTGTCAGACGCACATACGGCTCGAAAAAAATAAAATGCGAAAATATTAAGTGTGGGAAAATGTCCCGTAAACTAAATGAGATCGAAGCAAACACTAAATAGCTAAGATGGCGTCAGCAGTACGCCAAAAACCCGTATCTATGCGTCACTGCCATGCGACCATCAGTTGCGCGTGAGCTAGGCATACCGCGAGGTCGCACGCACCTACGCGAGTTCGAACCGGAGATCTCAGGGCTACAAGGCAAGATAGTCTTTTCGATCACTGGCCAAACAACCAATGGCACATAAACACCGGTGGGTGTAATGATGTCTAAGCAGTAACGGTGGGTTTGGAGGGCCAGGAAGCATACCACGCTTCAGGAGCTCAAGTTAATGCGAAAGCACGTTAGCAAAGGTAAGTTTGGTGTTGCGGTGCAAAGTGGGGGAAACAAGCTAAACTATGAAACAGACCAACGGCGAGACAATTAGTTTGACGAATATACAGGCATTGGGGTTTCGCACATCCCATGCCTCGGCCACGACAAAATACAGCAACTGTTCTTGGGGAACTGGCTTTCCAGTTCCAATGAAATGTCTGCAAACAACCTAATTTTCAAGGAAAGAGTTAGGAAAACTAAGAAGGTCCACGAATGCGGCGAACTCGAACGTGTCAGGCAAAGTGAAAGTTGCGGAGGAAACAAATTTACAACCTCAAGGTTTTCAACTCGACTAACAAGTTCCCTGTATGGGTGTCTAGGGGAAATATCAAGTATCACCCAGACCATTCGCTTAGACTTGCGTTCAGGCTTGATATACTTGTGGGTTGAGGATTGTGAGTTTAAGACTCGTTAGCACCCGTGATGTTGAGACCTTCAAAGTACTTTATATCGTGCCAAAATGGTATCCCAAAGGGCTTAGAAAATGCATTTTACCGACCGAAGCTATCGCGATCAGGCTAACACAACCTGAGCTATGCAGACAAAGGGGCACTTGTGCAAGCACTCCCGACATATCTCACTTGCCACACTGACGGTGATCGGATGACATGTGAATCACTCTAGCAGTTGATTGACACTACACTGTCTCGTGCGTGTGGGTGTGCTTGCATGCATGTGTTTACTGGGATAATAGCTATTTGAAAAGATAGACTAACATATGGACGAAGTCAAGGGGATTTGTACGCCGTTGTAATTCCACCAACCCATGCATTGCTTCGTCTACATATTGTGTTTCAACAAGCTGTTTTATAAGTGTAAAAGCCAGATGAGGTCTGTCGAAAAGAGTACGCTTCGCAGCCTTGCGTGCTACTTAAGGTATGTATATGTCCTCTTGCTATTGTTTGCGTGCATCCTGAGACACTGACGCAGCGATTATAAGGACATCGTTGTTTGAATTAATTATCGTTAGCAGCCATGTGTATACGGCCCATTTGTCAATAGCAACCAAGGTTAACGCACGGAGTTAGGCTAGACACAGCCTGTTTGTTCGTGGAGCTTATGCAACCACCGGCTGCAGTGCGGAAGCTCACAAGGAGGCTTTGCACCACGAGCCCAATACGTTGCCTCACAAGGTTACCATTCCAGAAATCTGTTAGGAGGAGCAGCTCAAGGAATCGATACGTGGCGCTTGTTTTTGACAATTGATTCTGCCAAGATTTCTTCAAAAAATTTCGTTTGTCAATGGAAAGAATGTTCCTGAACATTCTGATTGGCAAATAAGGAAGGAAAAGAAACGAAAGACATTCAAGAAAGTCGTCCATTACCTATAAATGTAACCAGCATACTCTGCGTCTTGTCTTGTCGTTCAGCAAATACACGGTACGAGAGGTCCACCCTTTTTGTTTTGTCAGCCAATCCGGGGCCGGGGTCGAACAGCCAATCGGAGTGAAGCCGTAACAATAGCAACGCAGAGGCCGACGGTTCGCACAGCACATTGGGGTGAAGCGGTAGTCATAATAAAATCGTTCTAGTTGCAGGGGATATGATGTGCAAATAGTAATAGTAGTAGTATAGACAGCAGTCTATCAAATAGACATAGAGCTCAACATAATCATGGAAATCACTAAAAGAAGACAGATTGAACGCCGTATCAGCATTATGGCACGCTAAGTGTAGGTGAGCAACACTGCAACTATTATGCCGCAATAGAAAAAACGGAGCATGTTTTGTTATTTTGCACGCCAATTTTTAAAAAACTTTGTTGTCGTTTTTATTCGTTAAGCATTAAGTATCCAAAGCTAAGCAATTATATCCACAGATGCTCCATTGGTTTCGATTACGCGCCATATCCTGAATTGTTTCCAGCCATCGGCACGCCTCGTCCTTTGGTCCCCAACTAGGCAAACGTGTGGATGCAATGGTGGCAAGACGTAAAAGCAACGATTTTGTTTGCTGTCGCCAGGTGGATGGTGGACCACCACGTGGTCTCTTCCAGTTGAGCCCTGCACGAGCAAACAGAGCGCGATATGGCAAGCGCTCAGCTGACATACGCAGGACATGACGGAGCCATCCTAACTGGCGCAGCAAGAGCAGCTTGCTGAACGGAATACTCACATTCCCTAAGACACGATGTCTGACTTCACTGCTGCAAAGGTATTGTTGCCACCACACACGAGCAATCCTCCTCAAGCACCAGTTGTCGAAGGCCGACAGCCAATGCATGTCGTGTACGCGAACTGGTCATGACTCGCCGCCAGATAGCAATACCGCCCGAACGGTGGAATTGTAAACACGACAGTTTACCAAGAGGGAAATATCCCGACGACGCCACAAGTGCTGCAGGTTGACAAACGCCGACCGAGTTTTGGAGATGCGAAGAGTAACTTCCCTTCTAATGGTACCACTAGCAGACACACAGTTGCTAAGGTAGACAAAGCTACCCACTTGTTCAAGCTGTGTACCTTCCATATTGAGCACGGGAACAGTTGAGTGCCAATTCTGAAGCAGCAATTTACACTCTGTTGAGGCAAAGCACATTCCGTACCTAGATGCCTCAATCGCCAAACGGTCTAGAATGGTTTGAATGCTCTGTGAGTCTACAACAAGTAAAACAATATCATCGAGATAATCTAAGTCGGTTGCTCGCTTGCCCGGTAACAGCTGTATACCAAAATTTCGGCAAACGTCTAGTGCTCTAGACAGGATGTCTTCGATCGCAAAATTGAAGAGGAACGGGGACACAGGGCAGTATTGTCGTACACCGCTACTGACAGCGAAGGACGACGAAAGCCTGTTATACATTCTCACTCCGCCAGAGACGTGGAGATACGGTGCGCGTAGAATGGCACCGTACTTTTCTGGGACACCGCTCCTTAGTAAAGAAAGGGAGTGCAGGTCGAGCAACCGAGTCGAATGCGGCACGGATGTCCAGGAATGCAACGATGGTAAGTCCCTGGTGAAAATGGCGGTGGCCCGGAATTTAACGGGATGTGAATATCTGATCTATACACCCGCGGCCAGGTCGGAAGCCATTTTGTTCCTCCCGGTACTGCGATTCGCGAATGGGAGATAGTCTACGGAGTAGTATGGATGCCAATGGCTTGGAGGCAACCGAAATGAGACTAATCGCCCAGTGATTGGCACACGAAGTGCGAGCAGCCTTTTAAAAACCGGGACAATAACTGACTAGCCCCAGGAAGTAGGCACCTTTTCTTCATGCCAGATTTTGGAGAACAATGAGGTTAGCTGGCTAGTGATAACTGAGCCTCCATATTTGAACAGCTCCGGAGGAAGTCCGTCTGAGCAGGCAGCCTTGAATCGTCTTAGGTGTCGAATCAAAGAGATAAACTTCCGCTTTGCTGGGTGGATCAAATGTGACGACCCAGGGGGCAGCTGAGTTCGCAGGGGATGTAGTGGACGGTGATGGCTAAATGAACTGGGAATAATTTTCAGCCCATCGGTCCAAGCGTCTTTAAGTTAGCAATCAGCGAACCATCCGCTTCGCATATAGTCTCAGTGACACCAGGCTTTGTGGCTAGTGGATCGAATTAGCTGAAAGAGTTTGCGAGTATTGCCAGAGAGGATAGCGGCCTTCCTTTCCGAAGCACGATGGGACCATCAAGCCTCACGGTCACTGCGTAGACTTTGTTTGAGCTGCTGGCTGAGAGAACGGCGCACTTCATCATGATTAGACTCCGGTAGGATAATCCTGCGGCGGTCAAATAGACCCAGGGAGCGCAGGGAGATCCAGGCCTTTATAGAGTGCTGAGTAAAACCACAGACTTGATGTCCAGAAGAGATCTTAGTCCTCTGCATGCAGGTGTAGTGTTCATCCATATCTTGCGGTGGTCGCAGCCGAATGCACCAGCCAGGGAAGCTTGATACCTTTCATGAACCGAAACAGTAGATAGTTTATTTGTGTCCATCTTATAGAGCTTCATTTTCGGAGACCCTCCGAAACTCATGCAGATGTTCGCACAGACAAGAATATGTTTTGAGTCAAGAAAAGTGGATCAGATGGATCTGCAATCCTTTACACTACCCTTGCATTCTGAAACCGATTACGATACGAGCAATCTGAGACCATGATTGAGATGCAGAGGGGGGTCGCCAAGTAGCGGAAGGTCTCCTCGAATGCCGAAAGTTGGTGCTCGAGAGAAAAGGATGATTATCTTGGCACAGTGGGAGAAGTCTCTCTCCATTATTTGTGCGGTTCTCATTGAGCGCATGGTGACCACCAAAGTGACTTTCCCATGAAAATAGATGACCGACCCGTGCGTTGAGAACCCAGCAAGGATAACAATGTCGGATTTGTAGGCTCTGCTCAAGAGTTGATGAAGCTCACGGTAGAAATAGCTCTTGAAGAAGTCAAAACTGAAGTCAATTGGAGCGTAAGCTGAGATCACAAACTAGTTGTGTCTTTCCTCACGACATGTGATTATCCTTCATGACCATCATCATCATCAACAGCAGTACATCATCTATTTGAACTGATGCTTCATTGCCATACAACCATGAGGACCTATGAAAAAAAGAATAATAAGAGGGAGAGAAGGGGGACTTACCTGAAAACCTTAATGCCCTAAGCAAACATTCACGGTTAAGGCGCCTACACCTTGTGTTAACAACATACCGTCACAAACAGCTGGCTATCGTGCAAAGATAAGGCGGCATCGGCGAGACAGCTTCCTTGCGGCTTTCACTGCCACGCGTCATAATCAGCCAGTACCCCGCAGATAACTCAGCACCAAACACACTTTAAACAGGCAACTCAATTAGGAGACGGCAGCAGACGCGCCACTGGTGTCTACTGAGAGCCATGTCCTGTAAAGTCTCGAGCCAAGCACAAGGCAAGTCACTTGGACTCCAACCCGGAAGGCGAGACGGACCAACGGCACCCAGTTTGGTCGTCAGTGACTTCATTTCCCGCTGCCAAGTCAACTTCTGTCCACCTCGAGCCTTGCGCCATCCTACACCTGGCTGACTAAACAAGGCCCTCCTAGGTAAGCGGTGACCAGGCATAGGTAACACGTGCCCGAGTCAACGCAACTTATTCAGTGCTATCTATTGTTCTAGGGAGCTAACATGATTATCACTACCTACTATTCGCCTACGCACATCATCGTTGCGGACACGCTGGTGCCATCCGACACCAGCAATGCTTCGCAGACAACCATGATCAAAGACTTGAAGGCGCCTCAGATCTTCAGACCGAAGTGGCCAAGTCTCACTACCATAGAGCAGAACGGCCCTCACTGTGGCCTTGTATACACGGCCTTTCAGACGGAGGGAAACTCCCTTCTGTCGACAAAGATGCCGCAGGTTCAAGAAGGTAGCTCTGGATTTTGCAATGCGTGAGCTGACGTCAGTTTCTATGCGCCCATCATTGCTGATGCAGCTGCCAAGATAAGTGAAATGATCAACCACCTGGGGTATCTAGAGAACAACAAAATTCTCGTCCCGGAACAGCATGGATTTCGCCAAAATCGCTCCTGTACAACTAATCTCTTGATTGCTCGTGCAAACTGGACGGAATCTGTGCACGCTGGTGAAGGAGTAGACGCGGTCTACTTGGATTTCATAAAGGCATTCGACCGTATAGACCATCGCATTCTCCTCCACAAACTCCAGAAATATGGAATCGGCGATCCTGTTCTGGGCTGGATAGGAGACTTTCTCGTTCAACGTCACTTGAATGTGAGGGTTAGAAGCAACCTGTCGGAATCCACCGAAGTTCAGTGCGGCGTGCCTCAAGGGTCGGTACTTGGATCCCGCCTGTTCCTGGTCTTCATAAATGACCTCGCGAGTGTGTTATCTTCCAACTATTTGCTATTTGTTGATGACCTAAAGGTATGGCGCACTATAGCTACAGTGGAGGATCACACAGTCTTACAGGAGGACCTGGACAAAGCTTACACATGGTCCATCGAGAACATGCTGCATTTCAACGTCACCAAGTGCAAAGTTCTCAGCATACGGCACAAGAGTATGCACAAATATCGCCTAGGACCACAAATTCTACAGCGGGCTTCTCACGAGTGCGATCTCGGCGTGATAGTTCAAGATGACCTCGGTTGTTCCAGGCAGACTGAAAAGACAGCTAAGAAAGCAAACCAGTACCTCGGCCTTCTTCGCAGAGCTTTCGGGAAGTTTGACCCTTCGATCTTTCCAAAAATGCTTAGTGCGTACGTGAGGCTGCACGCGGAATACGCTATTCAAGCGTGGCAACCCTGGCTCGAGCACCATCTCACCGCGCTCGATACTTCACAACGTAGGGCAACGAAGAGCGTCAGAGGTTTGACCAGCCTCCCCTACCCACTCAGGCTGAAGACCCACAAAATATACAGTGGACGTCATCGGCGTCTAAGGGGCGATCTCATAATGGTGTACCAGATCCTGAGAAACCCCGACCACCCATGCCATTCCCTTCTAACACTCAGTCAAAACACCTCGCTAAGAGGTCACCAGTTTAAGTTAGTCACACAGTACAGCCGCCTGGAATGTCAGCGAAACCATCTCTCCCTTCGAGTGGCACAGCCTTGGAACGCCCTCTCGGAACATGTAATTAATGCACCCACCCTAGCCCTTTTCAAAAAACGCCTTGACGAAACTCCGTCACATTAACACTATGTGCTATAG